CTTACCACAGATCACCACAACAAATATAATTCTAATGAAAAAATTTGAAATATTGCACAAAAATTATCAAATGTGACACACAGACAAAAAGTTGAAAAAAATGGCACCAAAAGACTTGCTTGGGATACAGAGGTGCCACAAACTTTCAATGTGAAGAAAATGTATTATCTGTAAAGTGCAATAAAATGAAGCACCATAAAATGAGATATACTTGTAGTATTATTACCTAGATCATGAATTTGACATAGGGTAGGGATAGGACAATAAAAATAGAAAGGAAAATAGGAGAGAAATCATTGTTGCAGAATTGACAGGACTGAATGTCTGACTGCTTTGTGGTGGATGACAGCCTAAAAGAACATGAAGGTTATGTCAATTATATTAACCTACGTGTCTAAGGAGTATGGTAGTATCATTAATTAATAGATGTTAATTGATCAATTTGGAAGTAAATAACAGAAAACTATTAAGTGATTTAAAATATAAGGTATATCTATTACCAGAAAAAGAAATCAGGGTATAGGTGCTTAATGTTCTCAAATTAGCTCATTGGCTAAGGGGCTCAATAATGTTAATGGCCAGCTTCTGGTGTTTTCTTCATGGCTATAAGATGGTTGATGTAGTTCCAGGCAGCAGTAAGGTAATAAGATGTTTAAGGTAATAAGATGCCTGCTGTATCAGTCCTACATGAAGGAAACAAAAACTTTTCCAGAGACACTCCAACTTCTCTCTACCCTGTTGAATTCCTCTTATGTCATATTAGCAAAAAGAAAGGCTGAGAAAGTGTTTAACTTCTCCTGGTTCTATAGTAAAGACAAACAAAGGAGAATATGATTGGGAATAAATGTTAAGTCATACAGTCAATAGTGTTAGACTCAGGTCCTGACTTCTTTTTGGGGAGAAAAGACTTAGGGAGTCAAATTAGGGATTTCTTTTCAAACTTGTTGTGGTTAAGGAAACATTAAGATATCCAAGTGGAAGGGCAGACGAGATAGTCATTAAGATATAAATAACAGGTGATAGTGTAGAAATGGATGAAATTAGAAGAAAGAAGTCTACAATAAAAGAAACTGCAAATGTTGGCGAGATAGTGGAGAAACAAATCAAATTCATTACTGGTAGGAATGAAAAATAGTACAGCTACTCTAGAAGATAGTTTGGTAGTTTCTTCCAAAACTAAACATTCTTATCATACAACCCAGCAATTGAGTCCTTGGTATTTCTCCATATGAGCTGAAAATTTTATGTCCACAAACAATTCTGCAAATGGATGTTTATAGAAACTTTCATACTTCATTTTCATTTCATATTCAAAGTTGCCAAATTCTGGAAGCAAGCAAGATGTCCTTCAGTAGGTGAGTAGATAAATAAACTGTGGTACATCGAGAAAATGGAATACTAAACACTAAAAAGACATGAGCTATGAAGCCATCAAAAAAATATAGAGAAAGTTTAAATGAATACATAATGTATGATTCCAACTAAATGACATTCTGGAAAAGGCAAAACTACGGAGACCATAAAAAGATTAATGGGTGGCAGATATTGGGAGGAGAGAAAAATAAATAGGTAGAACACAGAGGATTTCTAGAGTGAAACTCTTCTATATGATACTGCAGCAGTAGATACATGTAATGTACCTTTGTTAAAATCTGTAAAATGTACAGCACTAAGAGTGACCCTTAATGTAAACTGTGGACTGTGGGCAAAACTGATGTAGATTCATGGATTGTAACAAACATACAAATATGGAGCTGGATGCTGAGGGCATATACATGTGTGAAGGCAGGAGGTATGTGGGAACTCTGCACTCTCTGCTTAATTTTGCTGCCAATCTACAACTGCTCTAAAAAAAAAAATAAATGAATAAAGATTTTTTTTTTAAGAATAATAAGGGACTTATCGCACAACTTGGGAATAGGTAGAAAAAGAGGCACCAACTAAAGAACACCATTCAAAGAAGAAAAATGATACAGCAATAGAGAACCACAGGAAAGTATTTCAAAGGGAAGGGCCAACAAAATTGAAATGTGTTCTAGTTACACTGACTGGGATGCTGAGTAGAATAAAGAATAAGTTTCACAGGTTTAATCACCAGAGGTCATTTATAATCTAAGAAAGAATGGCTTTCAATGGAACTACAGTGGAGAAGTCCAATTGTAGGAAGTGAAAGACATATGATAAAGAAGGTAAATAAATAAAATGAAAGAGGAAAAGAAGGCAGTATACGTGAAATTTCTCAATAAGTTTGATGTCTGCATATTTATGGCTGATCTAAATTTATTTAAAAATATTAAATATCCAAAATTGTGTTCCTCAAGAAACCAATTTCCTCACCTAAGTGGATAAAATGTACTTTAAATGAGAAAATAAGCTTTTATTAAATTAACTATTATGCTATAGACTGGTATCAGTATAAATTTAGCCCTTCATCCCATACGTACCAGTGTATTTTACTTGTTATTAGGGAAAACCGCAAACGCTATAAAATTAGGGGGAAATTCCATCTTAGCAAATTTAGCTGGTATAATCCCATGCTACTTTAAAAATAATGTATATGATCACCAAATAACCAATTTTATCCTCTACCACCAGAACTAATTTAGAAAGAATTCCCAGGTTATTAGAATAAACAAAGATGTATTATTTGAACAGCACTATAATATTAAAAAGTATTTCTTTGTATGATAATCATGTATTTGCCTTAATCTACTGGAAAGTCCTATATAATGTATGACCATTAACTTGGATTTTTCCCAAACATATCACTAGGACTGTTTCCTTTATGAATTTCAGCATTACACAATTAAATAAAGCATAAATTTTTCAGCTCTCATCCTAATCAAATTTACCTTTTACTGATATCAATAACAGTACTTTTTATAATAAAATACTAGAAATATGATTGACTGACTGAAGGTCCCTAGAGACAGTGACTGTTTTAAAAAATTTCTCCCTAAAGCTTATTTACATAGTAACTATTGAATGAGTTAACAAACACAAAAATAATTGTAAGTGTGCCATAAAAGATAGGCATACTGCTGAGAAAGTACACAACAACTGATTCATTAGACAGCTTGATAATAAACTTATTATTCAGAACTTATATGGCAACTTGAAGATACAGAATGCAACACCCAAAGCACCAAAAACAGAACAAAATCCCTAGAAGGTAAGAATAATTTTAAAAAATGATTCAGAATAAAGCAGATATATAAAATAAATTCAAGGGTTCTCATGAGAAAATTGGCATAAAATAACTAAAAAAAGGATTCAAACGTAGCTTTGTTTATATATTGTTTTATACAGTCCATAATTTATACAGATTTCTATTTTATAGGGGTTTTTTTGGGGTTTAAATTTCCAGGGGTTTTTTGTTCTATATCTTACCTTCCAATTTTAATAACCTCTTAGAAATGTACATTTCTTTTTCTCCACAGATAGCAGGTGCCATTTAATTCAATTTATTTTTATATATTTATTTATTTTTTACATGAAATTTATTGTCAAATTGCTCTACAACACCCAGTGCTCATCCCAACAGGTACCCTCCTCAATTTAACATAAATACACAACAAAAAATCCAGAAAAAGGACTATGGTATTATTATGTACTTAACAGACTAGAATTTTAATTTTAGGTCTGTTTTACATAAGAATAGCCATATCATATATGGCACATGAAGTCTGTCCCCTGATGCTGATAATAAAGTGGCATATATAATGTAAGCTGCCTTTAAAACAATCCTTCTTTTGATTTGCAAGTATACACTGGAAAAAATGATTATACTAAATTTTACTCAAATAATTTTAAATTCCTTGGGGTAACTAAAAAATGATCAAGAATCTAAATTTCTTTTCTTTCCCCCTTATTGCTCTAGTCTATCTATGAATTTGAGAGAAAAGAGGAGAAAGTGCATTAAACAATGACAACAAAGTTATCATAGGCTCCTAATTACTCACTGAGAATTTCAAAATGAAGTTAAACACATTTACAGAAAAATCTGACTTCAACCAAACTTCACACTTTTTGACAGACTAAAATATTTTCCACTTCCAAATGTCACCATTTTTCTAATTTTGGTAGATAATCCTGGCTTAGTGAGTTAATCCTGCTAATGCTGTAATACTCTCCTGCAAACTGTAGCAAAAGAGAATTTAAGAAAACAAAGTACAATTTTCTTGATAGCATATTTTTCTTACTGCACAATCATGACAATGATGAATCTTTTCTGTTTCCTATAGATGTGGTTTTGTTTTTATTTTTAAGCAGTTAATGAGAATGTAAGCACCTTGAGGGCAGGAACCACTACTGTGTCATAGGTACTATGCTAGGAATTGGGACAAAGATGAAAAAGGAGAATGGAAAGTCATAAGTACAATAAGAAAAAAATATATAATTAGTAGAATAAAAACGATGTTGGATCTATTTTCATGATTATTGGATCTATACTAAAATGAAACAGAACCTCTTATCATGAAATGTACACTTGTTTCAAGTTCTGGTACACTATCTTCTTCCTTTTTTTTTTTTTTTTTTTGTAATAAGTAACATTTTAAGTACTATTTCAATTCCCAAATATATTCACATACCCTTCAGGGAGAGTCACTTCTGTGAGTTAATAATATTACAAGATTAGTGTAATAAATATTGATGTGAAGAAAATGCTCATGGTTTAATTTTTTTTCTTTTATAGTGTGGTCGCTTTTTATTAACTACAAAAGGTAAAAATATATTGTAAAATCAGAAACAGAATGAACCCAAAGTACTAATATACCACCACTCAAAATTCAGAAAATATGTTGTTTTCATGTACACATAACACAAAATAAAATAATACCATAACAGAAGGGTGCTGTATCTGTGTTTAAAGAAGGGGTTGTTGGCAAACACCACAGCTCACTTCTGCGGAAATGTACACAACTGATATATGCAGCACAGAAAGCTGGCACCAAGGGCTTACAACCTTAATTTGCCTGTAAGAAGGAACAGAGATTTACCTTCAGAGCACGTTCTTGATTGTTTTCAGCAGTCAGATGTCTCATGTTGTTTGCTGAAGTCTGGTTCTGCTCTTTCAGATGATGAAGCTCCTGCTCTAGCCGTTTGCACTGCCACAAGGGAAGAATCCCATTAAGTAAAGGAGTTATAGCATTTTTTTTTCAAACAAGCCATATGAATTAATGTAAATAATACCACTGCAATCACTAAAAGACAAGGTATCTTTTGCAATAAGAATAGTAAGTTAAAAGTAATGATGAATAAGAACAAAATAATATTGTTTATAGTACTCTGGCAATTCAATTGCAATGATCTTTTATTAATCTAAATATTACCATGAGTTAGTAAAATACTTTGTGCTTTCATAAAATTAAGATCAAACTACATTTAAAATTATTTTCTTCATTGATCAAATGGTTTTTATTAGGTATCTCTTGGTTGAATAAAAACATCTAAAAATCACATGGGGTTCCAAGTAAACCTCAATATGGTATTCTGTATGAATTTTTATTAAATTTTTTAAAATAGCAATTATAAAATACATATTAAGAGGTTTTCCAGATTTTTAGAAATATCTAAGGAAACAATTGTGTAAGGAAGAAAGTAGTAACTATAGTGCTATAGGTTTGGAAACAACTAAGGAAACAAATGTTTTTCATTTCTATTTTGGCTAAACCTTATTTTTAAGTAAAACAAGTGATAAACATGAAATGACATTCTGACCTACAGGAAATATATGAGAATATAAGTAAAAAAAAAGAAATTATAAATAAAAGCATAAACAGGCATCTATGTTAAAAAATAATTGAACTATGACATTTGAATACAAGATCTTCATATAAATATATCGAACATTTTACACAATAATTATAAAGTGATGTGCTGTAATTCAGGACCATATCAAGATACATGGGGGGATTAGCTAAAGGAATAAAGTACTAAAGCCATCTTTCAGGAAAAAAGTTAAAAAATCACTCCTTAATTTATCTATTTGTAAGTTAGAATATTTAAGGGATGCCTGGCTAGCTCAGTTGGATAGAACATGGGACTCTTGGTTGTGATTTTGAGCCCCATGCTGGAAGTAGACATTACTAAAAAATTAAACTTAAAAAAATTAGGATATTTAGGTAACACCCAGTAAGTAAATACCTATACAAAGTTAATTCTAGATTAGTTGACAAGTGGCTAGTTGTCCTAATGAATTACATATCATTATTACAAAATAATCAAGATACAGTCATAATCCAATTTGGCATCTAACATTGATTTTTTTGCCTCTGACCTCTATAATATTTAGTCCATATCAGTATTTCTCAAGCCTTAGTAACATAAAAATCTTTTTATATTTTTTATTTTTTTAAGTTTGTGTATTTATTTTGAGAGCGTGCATGCACACATGTGCACGTGAGCAGGAGAGGGGCAAAAACAGGAAGAGATTTACAAACAGGCTCTGTGCTATCAGTGCAGAGAGCAGGGCTTTGATCCCATGAACTGTGAGATCATGACCCTAACCAAAATCAAGAGTTGTGATGCTTAACCGACTGAGCCACCCAGGCGCCCCACAAATCCTTTTAAAAGAAATGTCATACCAAACTGCTGATATTGACTTAAATTATAGAATGATGTTACAATACAACATTGAATATACATGCCTCATGCATATATAATACAACTATAAAACCAAAATAATTTATAAATGAAGTAAAATAATCACAAAATCAAGATTTTTAAAATATTAATTTAATTTACCAGATAAAGTTTTGTTGAAATTAAGTTCTGCACATATAGTGCTGACTATATTATAGTCAAATATAATATAGTGGCAGATCATTTCATGTTGCCATGAATATTCCAACATGTGCTGTGTGACAACTTGAATCACTTATCACGTTTTTAAGGGTGCCTGGGTGGCTCAGTCAGTTAAGCATCCAACTCTTGATTTCGGCTCATCTCATGATCTCATGGTTCATGGGATCAAGCCCCATTTTGGACTCTGTGTGACAGCATGGAGCCTGCTTGAGATTCTCGCTCTCTCTCTCTCTCTCTCTCTCTGCTCCTACCCCACTCACTCTCTCTCTCAAAATAAATAAATAAGATTTTAAAAAATGACTTACCACATTTTTTTTTAAATTTTTTTTTCAACGTTTATTTATTTTTGGGACAGAGAGACAGAGCATGAACGGGGGAGGGGCAGAGAGAGAGGGAGACACAGAATCGGAAACAGGCTCCAGGCTCTGAGCCATCAGCCCAGAGCCTGACGCGGGGCTCGAACTCCCGGACTGCGAGATCGTGACCTGGCTGAAGTCGGACGCTTAACCGACTGCGCCACCCAGGCGCCCCTACTTACCACATTTTAAAAATGATTTGAGTGAAATCTTTGTGACATTACATCATTTGGCCTTCATTTGGAAGGGACACATGATTTACACATGATTTATATCTGGCCCATTTTGCCTGTAACAATTCAAATATTTGCTCATAAATGCAACCAAAACATAAATGTGTTTTGTGAAGACACAAATCATGAGGCATGAAAACGAGTAAGACATAGCAGTGAGCATCACAATCCAGAAGTATTCTTTATTAGAATTAACCTCTACATTTTCAATTGATTTTAATACAAAATTATTACATATTAAGTACTTAAACGGAATGACTATGACTTATGAGGTTACAAATGTGGGGGAGATAATTTTGGCTATGGGATAAAAGAATGTCTCATGGAGCTGATGACATCTGAGTTGGGCTTATTCGGGGAACATGATTTTATAAGTTGAATGAAGAAAAAGAGGAAGAACACAGGAGGAAAGGTAGAAATGTCAAGGGTGTGCTTGAAGAAAGTGAGAAATCATGGTCACAAGTTGACCACCTATTTAAGTAAGGAAGTAAGTAGGAAATCAGAAATAACCCAGGGATAGAGACTTCTTTCCTACTTACATAATACACAAAATATGAAACACTGTAGTCAAACAGAGAAGTATAACTTAAGAACAATAAAGCTACTGTTGACCTGAGGGCATTTATCCACATTGCATACTTGGGCTCAGTTTCCATGGCCATGAAGTACAAGAGGGATAGAAGATAAGGCCCAGGGACCACTCAAACTAGCAAGTGTCCTAAAGGACTACACTTTCAAGTTGTTTAGTGATCCTCCCTACTTTAATGAACGAAAAGAACACAAATGCTAGAGAAAATGCATGTTGCTAGATCAAGTATTACATAACATCTTCCATGGTTTCAGAGTTTCATTTTGAACTAGCATAATTAAAAATAATACTTTCCCTGATTATATTCTGCCAAATATTAATATTCTTTTTTTTTTTAATATTTTATTTTATTTTTGGGACAGAGAGAGACAGAGCATGAACGGGGGAGGGGCAGAGAGAGAGGGAGACACAGAATTGGAAACAGGCTCCAGGCTCTGAGCCATCAGCCCAGAGCCCGACGCAGGGCTCGAACTCCCGGACCGTGAGATCGTGACCTGGCTGAAGTTGGAGGCTTAACCGACTGCGCCACCCAGGCGCCCCCCAAATATTAATATTCTTAAAAGTTCTAATGAATAAATTGAGACTTAGGAGATTTCTTACATCTTTTAAACTTAAAAAACATTTTTTTAATTGAACTTAAGTAAATGCTATCTGTATACTGTTACAGTGCCCTTGGGAACTAGGGCTCACATCAAATGAGACAAAAATAAAGACGAAAGATAAAATACATAAAAAACCTTTTAGTTCAGAAATTGAACTGAAGAATCAGTATGAGGATACAAAGGGTTTTACCTTTAAAAAATATGTGTGTTTGTGTATTTCCTAGTTCTGCCCATTGAAAAAGATAGAAATAACAGGAAATCCGGTAGCAAGGAGTACTTTTAACACCTACCCTATGAGTTTCAAGTACCATTTCCTACTAAAAATATAGGACTCCATGTATATATGGCTGACTCCAGGTCTGGGACAAGAAATATACAATATGATCCAAGAACACATGTTCTTAGCAGAAGTTTTGTATTAATCAGGACTAAGAAATTATCAAAGAGACTCAGAAAGCACTCAGTAGAAAACTTGAAAAGCTCTCCTGTAGCTAAAGATGAGACAATATGATCACCAATAGGGATAGTAAGTGAAATATATTGTAACACACAGAATATGTTTAAACTATTAAATTTATAATTACAATAAAATTTTTAAAAAACTAATTAGCACTGTGGGGGAATTTATAAGCCAAGAATTTATCTACCCTTTCTTATATAAACCTTACCACTGGGTAGTCAAAGAATAGATAAGAAAATGGCTATGGAAGCATCCAAGCTAATAAAAAAAAAAAGGAGTATTAGAATATCACAATTTTGAAGTCATTAATAAACTAAGAGATACTAATATACTGAGATCATTAATAGACCACTGAGACCTGTTAATAACTCACGTAGTTCTTTCACAAACCAACATGTATTCCCAGATAAAACACAAAACTACCTGTAAAGCAGTCTTGGTAACAAACAGTAATCTAAATCTGATCAAGCCTATAGATACTTACAGAGAAGAGAGGAATACATTAAATGACACTGCAGAGATGCAATCAATAAACTGGGAAACTACAAGAAAACGGACTCAATGTGTTTAAAAAATAAACTCCAAGGACAAAAAGAGATAGAAAGGGAATCTATAAATTAAAAATAGTGTTAAGAGTCAATTCAGTCATTTGCAATGTGTAATTCTTATTAAATACAGATTCAAACAAAGAAGAAAGTTATGATATTTATGGAATGACTGGAATTTGAAAACTGATCAGATGCTTCACAATACTCTTTGTTAATATTTTTGTTGTGATAATGATACTGTGGTTATAAGCAACAGTTCGTATCTTTTAGAAATACACAATGTAAGGAGCGCCTGGGTGGTTCAGTTGGTTAAGAGTCCAACTTTCAGTTTCAGCTCAGGTCATGATATCACAGTTCAGATCAGGTCATGATCTTCACGAACTCAGGTCATGAGTTTGAGCTCTGTGGAGGGCTCTGGGAGAGCCTGCTGGGATCCTCTCTCTCCCTCTCTCTCCGCCCCTCTCCTCATTCACTCTCTCTTTCTCTCAACAGGAATACACTTAAAAAAAGAAA